CTGTGATCTATGAGCAGAGATGCCGACTGCTAGACTTGATCGTTTTCCTCCGAACATTGACGAAATGTACTATGTCGTGGGTGACGTGGCTCGTCGCTTGAGCGGCGCTGGTAGCGCGCCGTGCGTGCGTGGTGCGACGCGTGTCGCCGACAAAGAAGACGGAAGCCGACGTCAGCGCTATGCCACGCGCTCGGCCGCCATTTCCGACGCTAAGTCATTTAATTTCCCATCCGACCGTATGGAAATTACGGATGCCATTAGATTCATATCCCATTGCCTTCGCTCCGCGTTGATCACGCAGTGCTCACATGCACCCACGCGCGCGATGCTAAAGGGCAAATCTACATCGCGGACGTACGTATGAGACTGCGCGCCATGACGATGGATTGCGAGTAGGTTTCGACGTTATATAAAAAAAACACGCAACGCGACGAGCCATAACTGAGCGTCTAATTAGCATGAGAGCCGCAGTCAAGCGGAGCCACAATCTGAAGGGGTTGCGCTAGTACGCAAGGAAAGGAAGCATGAAGATACGAAGGAGAGAGAGAGAGAGAGAGAGAGAGAGAGAGAGAGAAAGAGAGAGAGAAAGAGAGAGAGAGAGAGAGAGAAAGGGGAGGGGGTAGAGAAAGAAGCCAAAAGGGTAGCCCCAAAAGGAGACCAAGTAGGTCCATGGGGTCTTCGAATATATAGGATCAACGAGTACTATGGCTTGCCACATTGTCCAAATTCGACTAACCTTGGAATATATTAGTGTGTTTTTGTTTTATCGGCTTTGTGATCATATGTACTATTGCTACGCAGAATATAAACAAAATATCATTAGTTAGATAGGTTATTATTGATGTAACACGTTGTATTCCATACATACATAGACTGGTTCCAGCCTGCCGTCAGAATGATTTTAAACGGTGACCTGGTGTCAGTCTAACACACACGCCGAACCAGTATCCTACGATATAACTTTACCGAAAAAAGAAATTAAACTCGTCGTGCAGAAAAGGCGTTAAATCTTTTATTTAGGTTTTACGTTTTAGTCTCGCACGTTCGTGCTGCGTCTGTCGCCGACGTTTGCATGCCCGCCCATCTAGAACTAATTGACATTGATCGCAGGAGCGTGTACAGGGGGGGGGGTCCAGGCGGTCCGGATCCCCCCCTGCTCGCGCAGAAAACGCATCTGAGGGGGCATAATTTCAAAAAAATTCTGTGGGGAGGGCCCCCCAGACACCCCCTTCGCTCGCAAGTTTGGGTTACGGTTAGACCCCCCCCCCTCCGCTGATACAAATCCTGTACACGCCCCTGCATCGGCCAAGCAGATGAACTGTGCACCGCATTCCGTGAGTCATTTAGAGTGGCCTGGGAGGTCTGGGCGCCTCTCATCTCCTCCCGCATTCCTCCTCTTCATGCGCGTCTTTAATTTGACGCGAGAACGCTTTGCGACGGGTTTTTAATCAATTCCCGCAGCTCCTAGCATCGCCGTGGAATGCAATATACGAGATGTCGTTGTGATTGGAAGTGATATCTCAGCGCCTAGTTAGTCCGTAATAACTTCGTCGTATTATTATATTAATCGTTCGGAGCCCGTCCGGGCGATATCTGATGTTATTAGCCAATAAATTAGTTTCAGATATTGCGGTAACGTATTAATTGTGCAACTTGGGACGATCTAGTGCGTTTTCTCGTTTTTTACTCGTCGTGCTATTTTGTTAGGCTCATATCCTGGTGATTGAAGTTACAGCTACCGCCGCACGTGATTACGGCCGTGTAACGTGATCTGTATGTAAGAATATTATCGAGTTCGCTACTTATTATCAGTCCACAATGGGGTTAGCCGCTAGCTTTGTCAGCAGGTGGCGCAGCGGGAGCACAGGTTGAGCAACGAACCGGTCAGTTGGAAATATACAGGAATCACGCATAGCCGATCCTATCACATGCACTTGAAGCGTTTCAATAAAATATAATGCTAAATAAATACGAAATCTATTTACTACCAAATTTTAATGTTTCTATACTCTCTTTCACCTATTATTGCCGACAGTTTCCTGTAAATTCCGTCCAAATCCTATATGCAACATTCGCTTGCGGCCGCCATTCCTCACGCGGCTGCACTGTGCACACTTACACTTATAAGTGTAACTATTATAATGATTTATTTTAGATGCAACCGAGACTCCTATTCACAAACCAAGTAGAGTTGATGACCAGAGTGTTACATTTTCTACGTACAAAAACAATACCACTTTAAAAACGATGATCGGCTGTAGCCCAAGAGGCCTTGTTACTTATGTCAGTGATAGCTATGGTGGTAGCGCCAGTGACCGTCAAATTATTGAGAGGTCTGAGCTGTGTAGTAGTGGTATGTTTGACACGGGTGACAGCATCATGTCAGATAGAGGTATTATGGTTCAGGATCTGTTTGCTAGTAAATACGTGCATGTAAACACGCCGTCAATGCTCAATGGAAAATCCCAACTTAATGCAGAAACAGTTGTTAGGGATAGACGTATCGCATCTAAGAGGATTCATGTAGAGAGGGTCATTGGTCTAAGCAAGACATTTAAAATATTAAAAAGAGACCTGCCCCATCAGAAGATTTCTCTCGGTGGAAAAATTGTTAAAGTGTGCTTCATGATTTCCAACTTTAGGCAAGCTATTGTCAGCGGTAATGCCTGCGTAAATGGCTGGTTTTAGAAATAAAGATATACATAATTTGTATTGCAACTTGAGTCTTTGTAGCTTTACTAATCTCAATAAACATATTACATAACTCCTGAGCACACACAAAAGAATAAACACCCACTTCACATATGCACCACTAATATCACCGTGAATCTCGTTAAAACATATTACATACCTCCTGACCACACACAAAAGAATCAACACCCACTTCACATATGCACCAATAAGATCACCGTGAATCTCAATAAACATATTACATTATCATAACTCCTGAGCACACACAAAAGAATAAAC